TTTCTATTCTACTTGCTATAATCCCATTTCCGTTTTCATTTTTTAAGATAAAGTAGGTGTCTTTTATTGTACAAAAATATTCTGTATTTTGTATTGATTATAATATTATCTGCTGTTATAAAATTATTGAAATTATGAAAAAAGAATATAGAAATGAAATTACGGATTACTGCATTAATTGTGTAATAACAGCAATGGATATAATAAACGGGATCATTAATAACATTCATCTGTCACTAAATGACTCTAGAATAGCAATTTAATATAACCACTGTATAATAACACACACACACACACTTAGTTTATAACAATTAACCAACATAGGTATTAACCACTTAGGTTGGAATAACGTCTCTCATACGTGATAACTACTTCGGGCCAAAAGTAAGTAGATTGCACGTGGTTCATTCATGAAACATCTAAAATTCTAATCAAAATTTTTTTCGCAGCAATCTAAACAAAAGTAGATTACCTGAAAAATAGTATATATTTTTTATATTTTAGTCTGTAGAATTTTTATAAATATTCAAAGTTGATTCTTTCACCGTAAAAATTAAAAATTGTCTGTAACAAGCCGTCATTTTAACACATTCCAAAATTATCTATTTAATAATCTATTTTCGTTTATATCGCTGCTAAAAGTTTTTTATTCTCGTATTTTCTAATATATTCCCTATAAATACAATTGTTTTTGCCAAATATTTACTGACAATAAAAAATTTAGGTTCTGCCAACTTGTTTAAGTCATCAAGGTAGCATGACCCCTGACAGGCTTAGCAAACATCAACCTTTTTATTTAGTGTGTTCTCTTTTTCGCAGGTTGATACTATTCCTGATAAAGACGGAAAATTCAAAAACTCTGTCTCGTATATTCCAAAAACTCAGGGACCGCATAAAATAAAGATATTTGTTGATGGAAAAGAGTGTGCAAATAGTCCCCACACGGTAAATGTGGGAACACAGTCTGGTGATGCTACCAAAGTTACAGCTAGTGGGCCTGGCTTACTACCAGATGGAGTCATGATTAATAAACCAACGTATTTTGAAATATTTACAAAAAATGCTGGACACGGTGCACCACAAGTTGCAATAAAGGATCCTCAGGTAACATATTGTTTGAGATAATATTTTAAGTCGTTTATACGTTAAAGTTGGGCATGTAACGTACACTTCAATTCTGTGAATACAGATCTACAGAAACCTGTATTTTTAAAAAATTACGTTTCTGACATTATCTAACCCTTTGTGACGAAATGTTTGCAACGAGCAAATACCTAAATTTTAATACATATTTCTAAATGTATTAATTTTACTGACTTTTTTTAATTGTATCCTATATGCAAAGTATTCGCAAAAACACTAACTAAAATGGAAATTGAATAAAAAAATAAAAAATACGTATTCCTTATGTCTTATTATAATATCTCAAACCTTTAAACATTTTCGAAAATATTTTCATGATTCAGGAGTTCCATGTCACAATGGGTTAACTTTTCCTTGTATAATAAAAGCAACAAAAATTGATATCGTATATAATTTTCCAAAATAATACAAAATCTGTATTATCAATTTAAAGTTTTTCTAAGTTAAAAAATTATTATTAAAGGTATATCGATTATTAGATTATATAATTTTATTGTATAATCTAATAGTTTAATAACCTCATTGAACGTTACTGATGTTCATAATTTTTGCCACGTCCCAATGTATTTATTTATTTATTACATTATAACATTATTATTCCATAGGGATCATTGACAACCGTACCTGTTAAATTATTTCGAACTTCGCCAGATGTGTGGAGGTGTGAGTACACTACACCTTCACCCGGTTTACATCTGGTGAACGTAGTTTTCGCTGGGAAACCTATATCTGGAAGTCCTTACCCTGTTAATGTAGCTCCAGTCTTAGATAGTAAAAAATGCAGAGCTTATGGGCGAGGACTTGTGCCAAACGGTGTACGCGTTAAAGACAACGCGGACTTTACCATTGTCACCAAGGACGCGGGTGATGAAGTGCCAGGAGTTAAAGTGATCGCTCCAGGTGGAATCAATTGCCCTGTACAGTAAGTGATTTCATGCTTTAGATAATTATTGAACTATCTTACTATGACGTCTAACATTTCGACTCCTTTATCTCCTGTCTTCTTTAATGTCTTTACAAACTCTATTTTTCTGTCATTCTAATTTCAAGGACTCAATTTTTCTTTCATTTTAATTGAACTTCAATTCTGCCTTATATGTGTATAATAAGGGTCAACATTCAAAATCAATTTCTTTAGAAATTAAATCCAATATACGGAATATGTTTTATATTCAATCTCTTCAGGGACAAAGTTTTTAAGAATAGACAGCGACGATTTTGTTTCTCGTTAGTTATTCTTTTTAAACTTGAAATGTCAAGCTATAATTAAGTATGTACATACATATATACAGATATTTTTGAAAAGGTTAAGTGTCATATAACTTGTAACTTCTTATGAATTTAATTACTTAAAACTATTATTAAATAATTGCACAGAGTGCACCTCACTGATTTCATTAACCTTTATATACATATGTAAATCTCTATCGATATATTTTCGTTCCCTTTTACTGTATAAATAAGAAAAAAATCCCTAGTGTAACAATGCTTGTTCAAATGGAAAGTTTTGAATGTTACGTAAGTGTATCGTGCAGAAAATGTGTTGTAATTTTAATGTTATAATTATATCTGTAGTAGCAGAAAATGATATGATAGAAGAAGAAAGAAGTGTACAAGGTGGAAAGAAATGTTTTATCTTACTTATCACAAGTGAATTCCACATCTTCGATTCGATGAAGACTTACGCAAGGAAGCTGTTTCAAAATTCCCTTTGACCTTGAAAAGGGTTACAATTTCTTATTGCTCCATCGTATTCTACTTATCTCGAAGACAAACAGTCTGGAAGGAACCATGGGTTCGAAATGATTCGTTTCTTTATAAATTGCTATTAAAGTTTGCTTAGGAGAGTAAACGAACAGAATATTCAGCGTTCTTTACATGAATGTCGATTAGTTTGGGTAGTCATAGGATTCCGACCTTGGAAAAATGTGATCGACAGTATTTATCGATCGAGTCGCCGCTTCACAGTTGAGAACACACTCGCTGCCATAACTGTAAATTTTTCTCTCTTTTTCAATAAACTATTAATAACAGAGTAAGCGTATCGATCATAGTTGAAAAATAAATCATAGAGCAAGGGTTAATGCAAGAGAAAGTCATTTTCAGCAACTTTTCTTAGTGCATTTTTACTATTAGAATATCAACGGTGTAGTATGTTGGATAATATAATTAAACATTTCAATTGGGCAACCAAGCCGCTTAAATTTCACCATTGTCCATCACAATAATTATTTTAGAAATGTGGGTTCTTTTAAACGTTTATATCATTATATTTAAACATTAATAGAATTTTGTTCCAAAATGAAACAAAAAGAGATTCGTAATCTAAAAGTTAAACATTACTACGATATTCTTTTAAAATTAAAGAAAGAAATCTCAGAGAGAAATAGATTTTGGATTTACGTGATGTTTGGAAAACGCAATAAAATATTTTCTTTTTTGCATGGTAAGAGGCAATTTTGCGGCAGCTTTTTTATCTCAATCTCCACGAAACCGAAGGTGTAAAACCGTGCTACAAGGAAGTGCAATCATTTCTTTGTATCCTGTACAACATATTACCATATAATCTGTATGTTACTATGTTCCCAGTATTACCAAAGTCGATTCGACAACATACAAATGTAATTACACGCCAGTGAAAGAAGGGCGACATGTAGTAACGATAACATACGGCGGAAGAGATATTTACAAGTCACCTTTCGGGGTGAACGTTGGTCCGTACAAAGAGTCAGCTATCAGAGCCTTTGGACCTGGCCTTCATGGTGGAGTAGTCGATTATCCAGCTAAATTCACTGTGAACACGAACGGCGAGACCGGTGCCCTTGGATTTTCGATCGAAGGTCCGTCGAGGGCGAAGATCATGTGCTACGACAATGGCGACGGCACAGCGGATGTGTATTATCTACCAACTGCCCCTGGACAATACGCGATTCACATACATTGCGAGAATGAAGATATTCCGAATTCGCCATACGTCGCGAATATTTTGCCAAAATCTGGCTTCGTTCCCGATAAGGTGAGCATAACATCTTTTATTAGTATCGCGCGATGTTACCCGCACCCACGATAAGATCATGTTTATATATAATTCGCAGGTTAAAGTGTATGGTCCAGGAGTTCAAGCGAAATCCATTCCTCTCGATAAACCAACGAACTTTACGGTGGACGTGAAACAAGCCGGCCAAGCACCATTGGAAGTGGTCGTTCAAGATGCCAATGGGAAAGATGTTCCCGTTCAATTGGAAGACACTCATGACGGGAAGATAAAATGCCAATATACTCCGACATCTGGAACACAACATATTATTATGGTCAGCTGGCTTTACGGTGTTATTGCTTTGCAAATGTGTTAACCCCTTGCCCTGCAACATCGTGTTAAACTTATACTGAAGATTTCAAATAGAATTGACCAAAGATAAATATTGTTCAATTCGTGTGAATGTGGATTACAGATTATTCCTTTTTTATCAACGATTATACCTTAGAGCATACGTTGACATAGAATAAGACTGGAATTTTCTCTTATTTTCTTATTGTTAATAACAAAGTAGCTAAGTCGATCATAGTTCAGGCAGAAATCATAGCAAGGGCAAGGGGTTAACACATTTGCGATCGCTGATGTGAATTTACGTCTCTTTAAACGAAATAACTTCCAAAGTATTCTATTCTTCTGCTCTTTTCCATTTACGATTTCTTCGACGGAATGTTCTTCATTTCGAAACGAATTTTTTAATTTTTGTCCGTATTTTGACGTCACAAATTTTCACCGGCAATGACTATTAGAAGAAAGAAAAATTTGACGGTCATGAATGTCTGTATCCTCGGAAAGTTTTTGTTTTTGAACATCGATCAGGTATTGGAATTCTGTTCCAGTTCCCACTTTATGCTAAATATTATCTGAAGATCAGAATCGACAGTTATTTAAGTTTCAATGCATCTGTTGTAAAATACAGTAAAAACATTATTACTCTTTTGCATTAAAGACACTATGACCTCAATGGTGCTTTCACCTTTGATCTTGACAAGAACTGTCTTTCCATTTACGATACTCTTCTTTTGAATCCATTCAAATGTATCATACAAGAATTATCATATCGTTAAAAATGAAGATGATATTTGGTGGTAACCAAATAGTGCTGCGTTTTGCTAAGCTTGGTAATCAAAAGAAGGAGATCAAAACAAAGTCATTTATTTTCTACTTTATTTTAGACGTTGATGTTTTCGAGGCTATAATAACTGTCTTTGGTAGATGCTCGGTCATAAAGGATTTATCTTATTTTATTATTTTATTTAAAATAATAAAAGCTTTTCAGTTATTGAAATGTTGAGGATGATCTTGTCAGAAATTGTAAAATAAATCCGTATATTTGTGAAAATAGGATAATAGGAGGCACTTTAAATCTTAAGGAATGTACTACCTCAAGTTTTATAAGAAATTATAAAGAAATCACTATAATTACTTGATAGTTTTAATGTTAATATTATATTTCAATATTACTACTGTTCTTGTGTTCAGGTGAACTATGGTGGCGTAGCAATACCCGAGTCTCCATTCAGGATGAAGGTAGACACACCTTTAAATCCTGCTTTAGTGTCGGCTTACGGGCCTGGTCTCGAGAAAGTGTTGAAATCGAATACTCTTGTTCATTTCGATGTCGACTGCCGCAAAGCTGGTCCAGGTGATCTTCGTGTCAACATTGTGAACTCTGAAGGAAAGGACATTTTATTTTCGTTGAAAGAGAAGGAGGATGGTACATACACAGTTCATTATTCGGTACCCCAGCCAGGAACTTACTTCATAAACTTGAACTACGGAGGAGTTAACGTACCCTACTGTCCTATCAAAGTCAATGTTCAGCCGCACGTAGACATCTCAAAGATTAAAGTTGATGGCCTTGCTCGAAGTAAGTACCAAATATATTTATATCGTTATCGATCGTTCATAAAATGATGAAGACAGAAAAATAAAATACAATAATAAAATATAAAAGTATATATAATACTTTCTTTAATTATATTTTCGAAAGATATGTTTATATTTAGAAGTCGGTTGAATTGGAGTTTTTAAAGTAATGAAAAGATAAGTATGTTATCTTCAGATTTTAAGAACTCAAGAGGTATATTAATTTAATTAAATTCAGCGAGGAAATGATTAACTATCATGTTAATACATATAGTGATGGGTTTAATTAGGGGTAAAGATTTGGGGAAAGTAGTAGAAAAATAGATCGAGTGGTGTCACTGAATTATTGTCTTTAACCGCTAGTATAAACGTTCAATCATTTAATTAATAGTCAGTTATTGTATTTAGATATGTTATAGTTGTTAAATTGTTGATTTGTGTGCTTTAAATTAATTCATAGTAAGTAATGCGTAAAAATTGTCAAGATCAATGATGTTTGTGGCTGTCATTGTAACTACTTGTTAATGTATTAATTTCAGTTTTTGAAATTTTGCATTTTGATTGAAGTTCGCGTAGGAAAGTAAAGGTCCACGATATTCAGTGTCCTTCTTTGATACACGAATATCGATTAGTTGGGGTACCGAGTGCAATGACTGCGTTCTGTTACGGTCCAAGATGACAAAATGTGACGGAATTTGACACAGAACGAAGTTCTCTGGTATCAAGTCCGGTAACCTATTTTGTAACAGAAAAAAACACTGGGCATCGCAGACTATTACTCCTACTATAGGAACTTCAAGCGCAATTTGCCAGCAAACGAATTATTTTCAACTTATCGTCTGGTTCACACTATTTACCTCTATTACAAGTACACAGACCACGATGTAGGGATAAAACATGCTTTCTCATTTTTCTCAAGATCAAGTTGAATATTGCTGTCATTTTTTTACATCCTTTTCCATCACATCGAAGGTATAGAATCACGCTGCGGTGGTTCTGACATTTGTATAGTCGTTACGAATATTTTCCATTTTGTTTTAAGAAATAAGAACATAGAAAGAAATCTAATTGTGCCACACAACGAAAGAAATTTTTTTCCTATACATAATATCATTTTTCCGCTGGAAGGAATATGATGTAGTTCAACAGGCCAAAATGCGCAGTATGTTTGACAAGGCGATAAAGTCTTACTTTCGAGTACCTTAAAGTAAATGTACCAATAATTAATCAGTTAAGGCTATAAAGACAACATATTTATATATATATATATTTATATTTGTAGAACTTTGACTGATTAGTTTTTGGTAAATTTACCTTAACCGTTTGAGTATCAACCAACCCATCAGTTCCTAGAGTCAAATGAAGGCCACATTTGCTCTCTTTCTAATCATTTATTTTTATTTTCGTCATTACCCGCTCAGAAACGTAAAACTGAAACGATCTCTCTATTTAGAATCTTCATATATAAAAGCAGAAAAGCATAATTCAGTTCCCGAGCTTAAATACAAGCAGACCGATCACGCCGCTTGTCACTTTTCGACTGGGCTTTCCCAAAGACCCGTGTCACTCAAACGGTTAAACAGCGTTAGTCTGCAAACAATATAATACACGTTACCAATGTCAAGACAACAAGGCAGAACTCTAAATGAATTTATTCATTAACTTCACACTGCTTTCCTAACAATGACCCTGGAAGTGAACACTGTAGTACAGCATATGATCATTAAAAAACCGTCCTGCAGCGGCTCCGGTGAACAGCTTACAGCAGTTCCACGTAATAACTCAGGAAGCTGGAATGGCAGCAGACTTCCAAGTGGCCATAACAGCCCCTTCAGGAAATCGAGTGAAAGCCCACGTGGTACCGACTCACGATGGCTACTTGGTGAACTTCACGCCGACAGAACTCGGCGAGTATCTCTTGGGGATTACTTTCGGCGGAGAACCGATATCGAATCAACCTTATCGATTAACCTGCGTCCACGGCTCAGATCCGGGAAAAGTGAGAGCCTCTGGACAAGGCCTGTCACACGGAATAGTGAACAAACCCGCTGAATTCGTGATCGATACTCGTGGCGCTGGACAAGGCGGTCTTGGCGTGACGGTAGAGGGGCCTTGTGAAGCGGCCATTAATTGCCGCGACAATGGCGACGGGACATGTTCCGTTGCCTATCTGCCGACTGAAATCGGCGATTATGGTATCAATATCACGTTTAACGAGAAACACATCCCCGGCTCACCTTTTCAAGCCATTGTCGTGAAGGACGCTGATTTGTCGAAGATTAAAGTTACCGGAAACGGCATTCAACCGCACGGTACTATTATTTCCGTTGTGTGATGTCTCGTTTGCCGGTTTTACTGTTGCTCTTATTTGTTGTGTTGAGATTTTGATATCAACGATTTGGATGGTATATGCTGAGAATCATGGAGGAGATTAGCGTTATTTAATTTTGGAATACTTCTCTTTTTATTTAAGTTTTACTAAGTTATTTTTATTTAACACTAAAACTAGATGAGTCAAAATGACCGATTCCGAAATTCTTCTTTTATGATTATTGAAAAGATAATAGATCCTTCTCTAAGAAATTTCGAAAAAAATTGTTTTACTAATACTCAAATTAAGTTATGAGTGATCGAAGTCTCGATAGATGTACTCTTGAGATTTGTATAGAAAAATCTAATTCTAGTGTTAAGATGATTGATATGGAATTTTTTTTATAAGAAGTGCAACGGTGCATATATTCTATGTCGGTTTTAAATCATTTTTTACATCTATGAACACCTTTGTGATTTCAGTAATTGTAGGATAGTAAAATTGAAACCTTATTTTTTACTTTATTTTTAACTTAGTAAAGTTTGCTTTTAATAAATACGATTGTATACCATCCGATTCTTCGATTATAATATATATTTAGGGTATTTATGCTTCTTCATCCTAGATATTTCGATAGTTGTATTTATGTTTTAATGCAGTCGAGATATCTATGTGAAGTGCTCGGAATTTGCATGAATATGATGTTCCTTACGTGTTAGTTTTGCTGTGGAATATACCCTTTAGAACTTTTAAACTCTGAATGAGATAGTAACATTAGTATGATATACGTTTTCAACGAAAACGGTGCCCAAGTAATTTTAATGGTCTACTATTGCTATCTTCTTTAAAATTCGAGTTATTTTTTTCATTTTATCTAATACTGCATCTCTGTTGTGTGTTCTTATTGCAAAAATTAACTACTGAGTATAATGTATAAATAATAAACAGCAACCGCTATTTATCTCTTTGTTTGTCAGATTAGGTAATTCAAGTTTTAGAAGAAAATTTTTATATGTATTTACAGGTAGTTTAAAAAAAAATAGTTAAGTTGTGTTTAGTGACATGTAACTGTTTTACTATGGAAGTTATTCAATACTCACTACACTTTTCTATCGCAGTTGCCACTAGTTTAAAATTGTGTCATTTATCTTCTAGACAAAAATTGGTAAACATGCATTTTATATTATTTTTTATTCTGAAATGAATTTTCTACAGATCTTTAATCAAATTTTTTGTATACGTACTTTAAAAACAAATTTTTGAAAACTGTTTATGAGATTATGAAATTTGTTTTTATAAATTTTATTATACTTTAAATTGATCATTATATATTTTTCTTCCGACAATCCACAATCAACAATTTTCACATCTGTACGTATATTTAATAACAGATTCTATTCCTGTCTTACGTACGAAGATGTATTTTGCATTCAGAAATGACCATTAAGCCGTTGTCTCATAATTTATTTCTTAAGTATGCTCTATGCAACCATTTTACCGTTAATAGTTTATTAGGAAAAGACAAAATTTGATGCTTATTCTATGTCTACGTTTACTCCAAAGGTTAACGATTGATAATAGAAAAGTAACATTTAATTTATATTCAAAAAAATAAGTAACACTTAGATTTGTCAAATTCAGTTTAAAAGTTTCGTCACGAGTCTGATACAATATTGTAGGTCAAGAGGTCCACAGTTGCTACCTTCAATTCCTATGCAATACAAAAAACGATGGGGTGAATATTTATGAAAAAGCTTGTCATATCATGACATCATATTTATGTTTGATATACAAGTTGATTGCAAGTTTTTTGCAAATTAGTAGTGATGATGTCAGAGGACGTTAAGACTGAACGCTGTCACAGTTTTTCGCAACTTGATCATCTCTGTCTTCATTTCGGTTCAATATATTCAATTTTCCATCGTTTCTTAGATATTTATTCTTGTTTATTAACTCTTTGCCCCCGACAGACCGTTCTGAGTTGCCAGTTGATTTGATTAAACGAAATTATAAAACTTGCTATTTATTATCAACATAACATAATGTAACATAATGTTTCAATTGAAATATTAAAATAAAATTTTTCTGTTTCCTAATTTATGTATGGTTTCTCTTTATGTTAGTTGCAAAAAATGTTATCAATATCTCATCAGAAAGTGCTGATTATTTATAATGAAAAATCTTTCGAGTGCAAGGGGTTAATTCTGCCACGACCCTTAGTTCATCCACACGTTCGAAATATTACTAAGAAAGCTAAGAACATGTACACTGGTAACAATTTTCTTCTGTTTTCCTTAACTTTAAAAATATTCTTGAAAAAAACGAGTACGACTTAAAATAGAAAATATGTAAACGAATGTGACCGTAGTAGAAGATTGAAAAGTTTGTTGGATCGAGAAAGATCAGCAGAGTATAGCAGGATTAATTATTCGTTATTGAGCGTTTCTAATATAACAGTTAGTAATGAATTCTGAAATTGAAAGAAAGCTTCTTTGAGCGGAGGAAGACGAAGAACAGTCAAGCAAATTTTATTTGTACTGATCGGAAGTAATATATTCAGTTGAACAGAAAATTTTATGGGGACTTATCAAAAAGAATTATTATTTATTTCTGAATCTGAAACATTTTTTTCATCTTACTGAATGACAGTAGAAAAGGATAAAGTCTTTGAAAAAATTTCACAAATTTATAAAAATTTGTCCGACAAATCTTTCTGTTCAACCAAATATTTGTATTAGTTTAATTATATAATTGTATTAATTTATATTGAACTCGTAAAAGGAATTGTAAAATGTTATGTATATAGCCTAATAGTACTTTTCACCATAAAGGTAATGTTATATTATTAATTGTAGTTTACAAGATACACAGTTTTGCTTGATATGAAGTGTTATTTGTGATTTATCTGTAAACTGGTAACATTTGATTTGCCTTGTTTGATTTATTGTGTGTTATTTAATTAATGAAGTATAACATAAGGTTGTATTTTTGAGAAATTACAGAAACGGCATTTTACCATCTGCACTTCGGATGCATTCTAATATTTTTATCTATTTAATCTATCCTTCATTATCTTGATAAACAGAAATTATAAAGGAAAATTCAAGATGGATTGTTCTACCATTCACTATATGTGCCCTTAATTTTGAAAATGGTCCAAGTCATTTCAACCATGAAAAATCGTATTTCCTTATAAGTTAAACAGAACATCATACAGTCATAATAAATTCTTATTTTTTAAGATTATATATTCTCTGAAATATCTCATTACATAGTATAAAAATATTTTTTAATCTATTCAAACACAAACCTTCAAATATGTCGAAACTAAAAATATATGATTTAGACCACTTTCAAAATATTTCAAAATATGATATCTATTGAAACAATAGTCCAGATTTTGTATCCATCTGAAATACTATAAACTTGTTTGTAAACAGTTACTGATAAATGGCACTGCAATTCAAATTTCTAACAATAGGTACATATTCTCCACATAGTATTGTATATAATGAAGAAATGCAGAAATATCCTTATTAACGTATCATTTAGAGTGGAGATGGTAAAATGTTCTTTTCACTTCCGATTAAGCATGAAACTTTATCTCATTCAATAGAAAACCATTCTATTTCTTCTTCACTAATTTGAATTACTCTTAATCAAATACGTAGTAAAAATCATGCACCCAATATAATAAATGTATCTACTTGTTAAATATTGTTTCATTCAATTGGTTCACCAATACTTAAATAATAGTTCATATTTTAATAAATTATACTGGGGTGTAATTCTATTTCATTTATTTTTGTATATTTCACTTCAAATTGCATTTCAAGGATAATTTATAAGATTAGGATCGTGTTTAATGGATTCATGCTTAAATGAGAAATAATGTGTGTGTTAAGTGTACAACATTTTTTTTGCAATTTCCCATGTTTGCAGTTTTAAATGATCCTTTCCCAGCTATAAATAATGAAATTTTCTTTTGTGTGTATTTTAGGGGTATGTGTGAACGAACCTGCAGAATTCACGATAGATACTCGAGCAATGCCAAAAGCGGAAAACGACGGTAAAAAGGTTTCTTATGTAATAAAGTATCCAAGTGGCGATCAAACCCAAAGCGTTGTTACTCCCGGAGAAGATGGGACTTACCATGTTTGTTACGTACCGTTTGAAGAAGGATGTCATATCATAGATATACTCTACGATAATATTCCTATTCCTGGTTCACCATTCTCAGTTAACGTTGAACGTATGGGTGACCCTAGAAAGTGTAAAGCGTATGGGCCGGGTTTGAAGGAAGGATTTGTGAATAAACCCAACACGTTTACTGTAGAAACCAAAGGTGAGATATTGAAAAATCAATTTACTATTTAAATGTTTATTGAAGAATTTTAAATAGTTTATTTGTTACCTTTTATCGGCTCATATTTTTGTGTTCAGATGTTCAATTGTTTGATAAGATATTTCACATTTTTTCATATCAATAAATGCTAAAGTAGGTATCACTTTAATAGGTGCCCTTTTAATAATGTCTATTAGTGAATAAGTAAATAAAATTGCTCGAGATAAAATAAAGAAATATATAAGGCCAATTTGATTTACCATATTTTGCCTGCTACTTAAATCGGTGGTTTTATAATAACTGTGATTTTCATTGAAATGCTAAAGCTATAATTTGAAAGCGTCAGTATCGCTCGTATTAAAAATATAAATAAATATGAAATAACAATTTAGACCATTTTAAATATATTTATAATAAGTTGATATTCTAAAGAATTATTTACGCGATTAGATCATTAAGGAATGTACAATTTTTTCAATTAATTATTTTTTAAACTTTATAAAAAATATATATTTCGATTTCAAAAAAACAATACAATTTTTAAGTGTACACATTACTATATATGTTAAAAATACATACGTAGTACTGTGAAGACAGTACACCTTAAATTTTCCAACGATACACATTTTTTGACCTATAATATTTGTATAAATCGTGCTGCACACACGAATAATCTGATTCTTCTAAAACAATGTTTAAAAATTATTAACGCCTTGTATATTTACAGATGCTGGTAACGGCGGTTTGGCTTTATCCATGGAAGGCACTGGCGAAGCGAAGATGATTTGCCAAGACAATTACGACGGCTCGTGCAGCGTTGAATACATTCCGACCGAACCAGGAGATTACGAGTGTTCTATAAAATTCGCGGAGCAACACATTCCGGGATCTCCGTTCCAAATCCTAGTCGTGAACGAGATAGAAGCAAACAACGTAACCGCATATGGATCTGGACTAGAAGCTGTGCGAGAGAATGTGTTGTCAAAGTTTATGGTCGACACATCGAAATGTAGTCCAGCTCAATTAGACATCACACTGAAGACTGACAAAGGACAAGTTCAAAAGCCGGTGATCAAAAGTCGCGGGGATGGTTTATACGAAGTCACTTACCAACCCCCGCCAATTGGAAGTAACTTGCAAGTTGGAGTGACGTATGACGGGAAAAATATACCTGGAAGTCCGTTCAAACCAAAAATATTGCCGTCGGTGGAGCCTAGCAAAGTTGTTCTCTCTGGACCTGGAGTGGCACCCGTTTGCACTGCATCTTTCCCAATTGATTTCGTAGTGGACACTTCGAAAGCTGGCTATGGAGATCTCGAAGTTCAAGTACTGGTAAGTGAACAGTTTTGAAAGTATTAGGTCCAGCAATAATTAATGTTGTTTTAGCGTCGTACGGTTTTGAAGGTTGTTTCATGATAATCTAAACAATATGATATGAAAATATTTTATGCGTATAGAAAGTGTGAAGTTAATAATCCCTTAAATAAATGGTTGCAAACATGTATTAAAGAAACGACATTAATTACTGCTAGACTTGATATTATGGTTACATTTTGTGAATTATAGTAGAACTATATTTATATGAGCCTGTTGAGAGTAAGTTGGTTCATATTATTAGGTCCTTTATATATTAGTAGTGCACTTATTTGTTTTTATCAATTATAATTCTTCGTTTAGTTGATATTTATTTATTTATTTACCAGGAGATATATTGTTAGATATATTGTTGACTTTAGTATTTGTTAATTTTCTTTTAAAAATAATAATATACTATATCTTTGTTTTATTAAAAGGACCACAATTTTTTTATTTCGCTTTGTTTATCTCGTTCTCGAAGGTGAAATTTAGTAATGTAACAATAGGAAATAATTTAAGAAATTTAAACGAACTAATATAAAAATTCAGAAACATACAGATGCTTTCTTACATTTTTAATGTCTGGTGACTATATATATTAATAAATTTAACATAGAAATCTTGGTATTTAAAAGAAACCTGTGAATCATAGGTAAATATACGAAAACCGATTGGGATTCCTTTCCATATCTCCTGTTGCAAATTCTGGGATACTTCTTTTTTTAATTATAGGTCTCAGTAAATCTATCCAAACATTAGAAACTATCGTACTCGTTTATTTTTGTTATATACTTGAGATATATCTGTACGTGTATTAAAAATGCCACAAACTATGATACGAATACGTTAATATTCGCGAAACCGGACATTGAAATGTATAATCAGTTGAGTTAAAAAAAACTCAGGTTTTTAATTTTCTAGTGCACGTTATATATGACTCGCGAACATTGATTTTTTTAATATCCATTTCAAATCGGAATCTCTAATTACACCATGACCAAAAAACGTGGATTCATAGTATGCAGGATTCTTCATTATCAAGGTAGCTTTTGCTGGTGAAGATTGTGTCTTTGAACAGTCCCAATCAAGTATATAGGAGTTAATTGTGTATATGAAATTAAATAAACAGTTAAACTAAAAGATATTCATTAATTTTTAATATCACAGTATAAATGCAACTTTATTTTGTATCACAAATAATCGTAGACGCTTACGTATTAATCCTTTGCATTCGAATGGTTTTTTTGTATATTCATCATTTTCCAGTGAAATACTGATTACGTTATTGAGCGTATTAAATAGAAATAATATACAAATTAATGGGTAGAACTATTTTATTCCTGCTAATTATATAGTTTTGTCTCGAACGCAATTAATAGGAACGATAAATAAATATTTAAAACAAGTTTGATATTTTTAAAATTATTTAATAATATTACGACAATCTATTTAATGTTATTATAAGCGTTCAGTAGTGCTATTGCATTTTGAATTACAATCGGTTGCAAAAGATATATGGACAATGATTTAATTTGCACGTTAAATGTACAATAATCAAAAAGTTTTTAATTAACAAATGCATAAAGAACTATTTATTTGTAGTTATACATACATTAGTTACATTAGACACAATTATTTGAATATTGTAGTAAGGAAGAAACGAAGTAATAACTATCTAATAATTAATTGAAAGTAATAATTAATTACTTTCGAGGTAACAAAAATATTCAGAGTCAAGGTATTTACATTCCTCGAGGTTTGAATTTCCAAGAAGTCAAAGGGACATTGTTCATAAACACAATATTTACGTTGCATAGGAAATATTGGAAACCGAATGTTGATCAGTCTTGCTTGGAATTCAGACGATCGTAGGTCGTCGAACTAGAAGCGCGTTTTAGATCTGCGGAAATTAACGATTTCCCTTCGTGAGGAAGGAAAGTTATTTCGTAAAATTGCAAGTGTTTTAAAAATTAATGAGAATACAATGTCAAGTATGATATTTCGTGAACCAATATAAAAATGAAGATACAATCGACTTTGTTCCATAAACTGTTAGTTTCTGAATTCTCAGTGCTCAAGAAAGGTATAAAAGATACGAAGAATATTATCTGAGGGATACGAAGTAACGGTGCATTCAGTAAACGTAAAAATTCATTTTTCTAAAACTATAATGATTAAATAGGCGAAAACTCACAGGTAGAAGAAAACTTTAAATATTATTCTGTGTAATCCGAATAATAAAATTATCGTTGGATTTTGAAAGTTATTAATTATCAGAATAAAGTACTTTTGTATAAAGAAAAATGAGTATGAAAGCTAACATTGCATAACTTAAGTTACAAATATTTTAATCTTTAATAATTTAGAAGGAAAACCGAACACTATTTTTCTTATTTTCGACTTTCCTTTGGTATTGTCTGAGTCTTTTTTACATAATTAATTAAACAATGCGAGGGGAATTATATGCGTCTTGTGATTATTCCTTCTTTCTTCATTTTCATAAATATACAAAATATTTAAATTGTGGTCCTTATTATAACGTCCGTGTAGGAAAAACTATTTTCTATCATAGTTCTATTTGTCTAATTATATTTTTAAAAATTTGAATTCCCATAAAGATTTGTAGTCTACTCGTAATTGTTTCTAGTAATTGTACATGTCGTTCGTTTTTAGGGTCCGGATCAAGTTCCTCGAAAAGTTGAAATTCAAGACCTGGGGGATGGCAAATACAGGGCAAGATATTTACCCGATGATTGTGGTCGTTATCAAATAAAGGTCCGATACGGAGGGGTAGAGGTACCAGACTGTCCTATTTTAATACAGAGCGTGTCCACGGGAAAAGCTGACGAATGTAAAATAAAGGAGGGAATACAACGCACGCTGACACAGGGTGAAGAGCAATGCATTACAATCGATACCATGAACGCGGGTCGTGGCGCTGTAACCTGCAGAATCAAATCCACTTCTGGAAGGTAAGTGAATTTATTTAGTTATTTAATCATTTATAATCGTTATAATTATAATTTAAATATATATATATATAATAAATACAAATAATTGCAATTATAATTATAATTATAGTAGAATTTAGAGTAGTAATAGCAAAAGTTTTTCGCGATTATCTCCGAAACTAAAGCCTTACGTTGACAACATATATAGGAAAAAGTTGTTCAAAATCATGTTCCTAACAATATATTTTAAAATCATGAAAATCAGAGCGGGCTGAGCACATCAACAACTTGACCTTATAATTTATTATATTATATATAATTATAATTTATTACTATTATTATTATTCCGCCGCTTTGAATATCTGACGGTGTATTTGAATTTTACCACTGCTCGTCCGTCGTATCGTTTACTTTCTTTTTACGTAAAATAAGGTCAGTTTCAAAAACCCTGGGACTCAAACGGTTAATCCCGAGTACTACTTCTGCAAAAGACTTTTCCCGATTAAACTGAATCAAATATAAACACTACAAATCGGAATTTCTTATTTTTCGCGTAGCGGAAGGGGTTAGAAATGATTAACTATCCTAAAGCTGATGTCTGTTTTGTCTCATCATAGAATTTCTATTTTGCGCAAATTTTACAAAGAAATTTTATGTTAAATTTTGGGTCATATTGTTAACTATATCTACTACATTTATATAAACACATATGTGTTTAGTCGCAGAAATAAAATAATAATTGCATAAATATGTGAATATAATACAACGACGGTTATCGCTGGGTCAAAGTGATGCCAAAAATCGGTAAATCAATTACAGTGTATATAGACATATTTGTCATTTGTTTTTATTATCAGTGTTTGAATTACAGCTTTTAGATCGTTGGGTAAACAGTTTAACGCTTAACAATATATTTATGTTACTTTATTCCCATGCTTATAATGTGTTATTATAACATTTAATTGTGAAACGAGCGTGCACGTTTCGATTTTTCCATCTCTTCCACGAATCTTTGTACCATTGAATACGAATCTCTTCTTCACAAAGTAGTAAAACCGATGTACAGTCTACTTCTGTTTGCTATTACTCGACAACCGATATGTTACTATTATATCTATAAATCTGTGCATCTTGACGAGCATGCACCAAGTATTCTTCACCAAAGATTTATGGGTAGAAAATATTTGTCGACTGCCGCGATAAATTATTTAAATGCCATTGTTAGTGTCTTGATGGCAACACGTTTGACATTGGCAGTTTTGTCTCGTATTTCTGAGGTGGCCACTCAACTGACAGTAATTTATCTTGTGGTGTCTTTGACGATAGCCAACTTAATCGTCGTACAAATGATCTAATGTATTGGATCATTTCACAAATTGTGCGGTATTTGTATACTTCTTTTATTTTCAAAAAATCGGTATAAACAAAACTTTCTCTAATCTAAAGTACATTCTCCTTCGTTATTTGTAGATTATTTATCTGTACATCTATACATTATGATTAGATTAAAAAAAAGTTTTGTTTATCTCAATTTTTATTAATAAAAGAAATATAAGAAAACTATTATTTATGGGATGATCCAACAATTTTAACTAGTTTTTATCGCTGAATGGTTACATTCTTCTTATTACTTCCCATTGTTACATTTAATGCGTGTATTATGGATTATGGAATCGAATTAAATTAAATATAGAACATGATTTAAAATGAATTACAGTATGTAATGAAAAATCAGAATTTGCAGAATTTGCAACATGTGTATTAACGCCGGAATAGTGTTGAACATGACGCATGGTGTCATCTTGCGGACATACTGAAAACCGATATCAACACTGGCACAGACTTAGGAGACAAATCTTAAATTATAGTAGCAATTACAGTACTAAGATTGATTTAAATCTGTATTCTGTAGATGCACAGACTCAAGATTTATGTGGGTATCTTATTGCATATCATTTTCTATCTGTGATTCTGAAATACCGACACCATCAAAAGTGTCTTAATTCACTAGCGAACTCTACTTGAATGGAACCCTTAGTTAGTGAACTACATACGACTGCAACACATAAGTTAATAAGTAAAAATGTTTAGCTGATTCTGAAAGAAAAACTAAATAAAAAAATGCAATGTTGTTATATGTCGAATGTTAAATTCGGAGGAAAATTATAAAGGCTGGCAATGACAGCGTACAAATGATTTCTTTTTTATTCTGCTTGTCTGTTGCAGCTGTATTATAAAAATTCAAACTTCAAAACAAAATTTAACAAAACTTTATTACATTCAATTGCAATTTTTATATTATTATTTCTATACTGTAATTTAATTTATAACTTTATAAAAATATAAGTTTATTTTTAATCAAACATTATGAAAATAATATTTTATTTAAAAAAATAAGAAATAACATTATAACTTAATTTCATATTAGTATAATGTCTAAACATTCGAATGACAAAACAAGTCAACAAATATAAAATAAGGTTTTGTAATGAAGCCATATTAATTATGTTACCTTTTTTAAATAATTATTATTAAAATTTTGGAATTCGGAGAGTAGTATATTTTATAAATAATTGTGCAAGAAAAATAAAAATTTGTGTATTAGAAGATCACAGTATATTATCATGGGAACATTTTCCGCTTCCAACTTATCAGTCACCATAGATCCACTATAGCCAAAAATATATTTCAGAAATCCAATGGGAAGAACGAATTCTATACATATGACCTACATAGCGTCGTATCTTGAGACATCGTTATAAAAGCTCGTATTAACAGACTCAACACCGATAAATTTACAGATCAAAAATAAATATCGAGGCCATGGTGAAGTTTTTAAAATAAAATGGAACATTCTCGCTATTTTGATGGAGTGTAACAGCAATAAACAGAAAAAAGGAAAAAACAAAAGCATGTTCTGCACTGAAAATTATATACTCTGAATTTGTTTCAAATTATACATTATAGTTCAAAAATGCTTTTGGACTTTCTGGTCAGATTGCTCAGATCTGTGAATATCATTACCATCAGTACAAAACAATGTCTTCTCACTTTTCACTTTAATTATTGATATTGTTTATAAAACAATGTTTAGAAAACTTTTATAGAAATCTTATGCGATACATCCACATTAAATTTATATTTTATATAAGTTAAAGATTTCTAT